TTCAATTATTTTTTGGTGTAATATACTTTCTATAACTTACAATTATACTAATTTCTACTCAAAATACTCACAATTCTTCCTGTTGTTTTGATATTTCATTTAAATTATTGAAATTTTATCATTGGTGAATAAAATAACTGTCAGAAGTTTCAGTTTGCATTTTCATCATGTTTTTTTTTCCTTTTTCTCTACAGCTGTGATTCCATTCCTTTCCAGAATATATGACAAACTAAACATCTGCATCTTTCCAAGTGATGCTACATCATTTTTTAAAAAATTTATAGAAAAGACCAAAAAAGATCGGCTTGAAAATACCCAAGAGGTAAAATATGGCACAATTTATTGTAATTCTAAGTCAATGATATCAAAAGATAAACATTTCTTATAGAACACCCTCTTCAGAGAGTGAATTTGGTCTTTTTAATTTGAGTTGTATTGTGCTTAGAACTTCGGCAGTATCTGTGAGCATTGAGATTTTCACTTTTATAACCCAGTTTTTCCTAATAAGAGTTTATATGCTGGACTAAGAGTAAAGATCTTGGCAGAAAAATGCTGACAAAAGGCTGTCAGGGAGTCAGTATCATGTCTGAGGAGGTGCCATTGCTTATTTGTTAGTATTCTGATGATTGGAGCATTTGTGGGTATGTTTGTTTGAAAGAAATTTGCTCACAGAGTGTCACTATTAGGAGTTTTGGATTTGTTGGAATAGGTCTCGCCTTTTTTGAGGAAGTGTGTCAATGTGGAGGCAGTCTTTGAGGTTTCATATATGCTCAAGCCATGCCCAGTGCCTCAGACCACTTCAAGGTGCCTGTCAAGATGTAAGAACTCTCAGCTACCACTCTAGTACCATGTTGCCTATATGCTGCTTTATATCTGACATGACAATAATGGACTAAATCTCTGAACTTTAAGCAATCCACCAGAGTTAAATGTTTTCTTTTATAAAAATTGTTATAGTCACTGTGTCTCTTCACGGCAATAGAAAATCTAAGACCTACTGACAATAACATAAAACCTAGCAATGTGTTCCAGAAACAGCAGTTGTTGAATATGAAATATTGATAAGCAATATGTCACGGAAATGAGATATTGATGTGTAGTACTTATTTCTAAACAAATGCCTAAGAAAGGAGAAGAAACTCATAACCATTCAGGCACAAATCTGTCCTCAGTAGCTATAGATGGTTATAATGAGGGAAAGCCATGAGACATGTTGTTAGACTTATTTTTTTTT